AAAAACCGCTGTTGTAAATATACATTAGACAGCGGTTAAGGCATAACCGCTATCTAATATATATTTTTAAAAGCGGTTCTGATTAACCGCTATCTTAGGTCCCTCAAAACAATGGGGGCACTCGGGATCTGTCTCGCTCAAGCGACTATGTAATCGCTTGAGCGATGGAACCTTAACCAAAGGGGACCCTCGGGTTCTGTCTCGCTCAAGCGACGTTATGAAGGCTTGAGCGAAAAGTGTTTCTAATATGTGGTGATCCAAGTTATATTGTTTGGCTAACTGCGTTTAACGTTTCGTTTTGGGTCAATACTCGCTCAAGCGACAGAATCATCGCTTGAGCGACTCTGATATAAGGTGAACCAAGTTATATTATATGGCTAGCTGTGTTGGGCGTTTCGTTAGTGGATAAACACTTGCTAAAGCGACGAAGGCATCGCTTAAGCGACAGAACCTTCAAATTTCAATCTGTTTTTTGTTAAGCGCATTCTTTACAACTATTAAGCATGAAGTTATCTGTTATGTACAAAGATGATACAAATATTTATAATGTCATAATATTTAACATTTAAATGATCCATAACCAACTTAACAGTTATATTACATATGAATAAACTGTACAATATTCATCAATGAAGATGAACAAATAATCAAATACAATATCTAAATTTCTACTCCTACATGAGGATGTTAACTCCTGATTCAATAACCATGACTTGTCGATGGAGATTTTGAGGATGAAGTACCCATCTGCATACATATTCTTCTCGAAATTTCTGAACTTGCTCCTGTACAATATGAAGAATGTCATAATAAATTATATTCATAGTAATAAAAAACAAAACAATAATACAATGACTTTAATGTTTACCGATGTGTAATGAGGCATGCTTCTCCCATTCACTTTACTCACACCATCCCACAACTCCATATATTTTAAAACAAACAATCCACAATCATATCTGCACAATTGAATGTAGTTATTACACACGTACATACAACATTTTGCAAACAAAATTTCAACTATAATAACATACTAACATGTTTGGTTGAATTGGCAAGTCCTCCTTTGTAACCTTAAGTTCTCCAGTGGTCCTCGATGACTTTGTTTCCAACAACGACAATAGATGTTCAAAACATTGCAACTGTTCACAATATTACATTATTCACCAAATAAACATAGCTCTGAATTAACAATATTACCTACGTAAACAACTTAAAACAAATATTTACCATAGCTCTATCAATTGGTTTTCGTGATCTATTATCATGGCCCAACGAATCTAATATAAACAGTTCTCTATCCTTACATTTCAGCACATAACACCACCAATGACCATTGTGTACAGTGGGAGCAAAAATCTGAAATAGAAAAAACTCTGGTTAATTGAGTTTTATCTTGACAAATATATAAATTTTAGGCAAAGTATAAATACTCACAAATTGACAACTTAATAACTGCTGCAATGGAATAATTGTATTTGGATAGAAAAGTGAGAAGTCTTTCATTGTCCACGTCGATGTGTTCCCTTTGCGAATATACATTTGTTCAATCACTTGTGTCTATCAAAAGGCACAAAAATAAATGACAATCAATGATAATAAACCTATGTGTAACTTAACTTTTTAAATGCACAATAAACATACCGCAAACAAAGGATTGAAGCAAAAACGTTGAATGCTGCCACCACTGACATTCATTTCGTCATACATCATTAGACTACTTGCAAACAACATCACCTAACAACCCATATGATATTAATAAATATAATTTTTAAAAATATATTGAATCACACTATTTCATTAAATAAACAAACTTACCATATTGTCAATATGACCCCTTGGCTTTAATGTGTGCAAGTTCTGCATAGTCAATATCTGCCCATGCACTTCCACTACAACACTGAAATACAATAATGGATTACATTGCATTTTATACTAATTAAATTGAATGAATGTAATAAATTTGATTATATACTAACCGGTTTGGATTATCAAGGTTGGTGGTGCAAAACTTATACAATTGATACATGTCATCATCCTCACCAATCCCCTTCACCTTTATCGATGACTTATTCATGTGAATCTTGATTTGTTCTTTCAAAATTTTAACTTCACGTTCAAGCTGAATGATCCTGTTTTGATTTTCTTCTGTTTTAGATCTCCATATGCGCTGGTCCGATAAAAGTTGTTGCAAGTCACATGACGCACCACTGGAGGAAGGTATGTCCGTATTCTCAATTTGTGAATGCGTCAAAGCTTCTTGCACAACTTTCATTGTCTGATCATCCACAGACAGTGCCCAATCCCATACAATCTAACATATAAAGGAAAACTTTATATGTTAGGAACATAATATAATAAGTCCACATTTTTAAGGAAAATTTATATATGTTGTACACAAAATTTCTTACATTGTTTGAGATGAATACACGTTCTATTTTGGACCTTCGAATGTTCACTTTAGGCCATTCAACAAAACGCGGAAAACAAATCTTTCGTGGTGGATCAGTAGGCAAAGACAGGTGCTCCACTGCCCAGATCTATTACATAATAAAATGTCATCAGTCACAATAATTTCATATCAACTAATAAATCAATCATTTGTAAGAAAGTTACCTGTAAGACAGCCACACAACCAGCAACGTACAATTGAGAAGCATTTTTTTCCTCGTTTAACTTTCTACTAGCACGATGCAAACTATTAACTAATAAACCGTGCACAACATTTCCCCAATTATAATTATCTAATGCCTCTAAATCATCTAATAAACTAAAAGGAACACTATGAACAGTGCGGGATGTGCGAGGAAAGTAAAAAACCGCCCACCCAAGTAGGATATAAAGCCTACAAAAGTCAACTACATATTTAACATGCTTAATTTTTTTCCCTTTCAGCTTCCTAACTATATTTGTTACTGTTATTGGTTCCTCTTCGTCGAATAAATCTTTTACTAAACATGAACCACTATCTTCTAAAACAACTACCTCCCCCCTTATACGTAAACCTAACGAAAAACAAACATCTAAAGGGGTGAATGGGACAAGATATTGTTTTATTCTAAAACAATGATCACTAACTGACCATCGACTAACTAGTTCTCTTATAATATTGCTTGATATTTGCAATGGCTCTTTTATTTGAAGAAGCCATTTAAACGGAGTTTGTTCAATAGTTGCTCGTTGGTGTTTGGTCAACTTTGAATTTATATCAGCTATATACTCTGTCTCAATCTTGTGTCTTAATCTTATCTGCACATATAACATGTATAACATATATAACATACATAACATATAACAAATTGAAAATTGAAAATTTATTAAATCACTTTTCATAAAAAAACTATAATTAACATGCACATACCTTTTTCTCGTCAAGACGGTCTCTTTTTGCAGACATTTTTTCCCAAACTAATCCTGTTACAAATTATTAAAATTGTAACTTACAATCACAAAATAGTACAAACAAAAAAATTAAGTCCAACCATGTTACACATACTTTTGGTCAAATTGTGAATTATGCAAACGTGGGTGTAAATCTTGTGCATATTATACAAAATGTTTGTCATGCAAATACAATTCTTCATTGTAGCATTTCATCAAACACTTGTTGGACATTAATATAGCATCACAACTCAATTAACCCTAAACCCTACATAATACTTTCATTACAAACCCAATCAAAGATAAACAGAAAACAAAGCAAGAATGCGCAAATACAATTCTTCATTATAGCATTTCAGCAAACACTTGTTCGACATTAATATAGCATCACAACTGAATAAACCCTAAACCGTGAAAAACACATTCATTACAAACCCGGTCAAAGATAATCAGAAAAGAAAACAACAATGGAAACCCAATCAAAAATACACACAAAATCAAGCAAATGTTGTTAAACGAACACTCACCACCGCAGGGTCGCTCAAGCAACACACAGTGATGTTCAGCTCCAACGACACGGACGAAGCCAAGCGACAGGAAGTCGAGCGCCGTCAAGAGCGAGATGGAGAAATTTTACCCTAAGTCGAGGGAGAAGAAGTCGAGCGAGGAAGAGCGCGAATGTGAAAAGCGAACCGCTATCTTAACTATACATTATGATCGATTATTATCCAGTTATAATCGATCAGATTGACATAGACTTTAGATAGCGGTTATTTGGCCAACCGCTATCTGAACTATACATTATGATCGATTATTATCCAATTATAATCGATCAGATTGACATAGACTTTAGATAGCGGTTATTTGGCTAACCGCTATCTGAACTATGAATTATGATCGATTATTACCCAATTATAATCGATCAGTTTTACATATATGACTTTAGATAGCGGTTAATTGGCCAACCGCTATCTGAACTATACATTATGACATATATGACTTTAGATAGCGGTTATTTGCCCAACCGCTATCTGAACTACATTTATTATAGCGGTTATTTTGCTAACCGCTATCTAAGGTCGCCTCGCGCTCGAGCGACTATCTAATCGCTTGAGCGACAGCGACAGTTGAACCTTTACCAAACGAAAGTAAACTCCTGCAAATCCTGGAAGGAGAAAAGTGTACCCTTGAGTTACTTTTTCTCATATGAGCTCGTACAAAGGCGCCAAGAGCTTTCTTATTCACTCTTGGCGGGGACTACTACTGGGAAATTACACCAAAGGAGTGAAAACTTTTTATGCTGTTGGCTGCTTGGGCGCTTACTCTGCTCTCGTCTATGCCCTAGGTGTGACGCAGCTGGGTATCGATTTGACTTTCGGATCTTTAGGTGGCACTCACTGGCCCCGTCTTTGCTCTACAAACTCATGGAAAGGCAGGAGCCTGGAAGCCAGGAAGAACGAGCCCTTCAATTCTTCTATAACATCCCCCATTTTTACAATATTACATATCTGAACCCATACAATTTTACTAATCAAACCCTTATTTTTAATTAATTTCTTTTTAGCCCCGGTTGTCTAACAGTTGTTTGTTTTCGGTTGTCAAAGAATCGTTTTCCATTAATGGCGACTATGTACGGAAGGTTAGGCAGAAGAAACATACTCCAACAACTTCCTCGAATCCTCTGTCGTCATATCCATAACTCGTCACGGCTACACCAATTCAACAAATTTATATCCAATCTGATTCGAAGTGGTAGATTAAGCGAAGCGAGAGCACTCTTTGATTCCATGGAGCACCGAAATACCGTTACTTGGAATTCCATGATCAGTGGATACGTGCATGGGAGAGAGATCGTCAAAGCACGCCAACTGTTTGATGAAATGCCCCAAAGGGATATCGTGTCCTGGAATCTCATTGTTTCTGGTTACTTTTCGTGTCGTGGAAGTAGGTTTGTTGAGGAAGGACGAAAGCTTTTCGAGCTAATGCCCCAGAGAGACTGTATCTCTTGGAACACGGTCATCAGTGGGTATGCTAAGAATGGTAAGATGGAGCAGGCTTTGAAACTCTTCAATGCCATGCCGGAGCGTAATGTTGTGTCCTCCAATGCTGTGATCTCTGGTTTCTTGCTGAATGGTGATGTGCATTCGGCGGTTGGTTTTTTTAAGAAGATGCCTGAGCGTGATTCAGCTTCTCTTAGTGCCCTTATTTCAGGGCTTGTTAGAAACGGGGAATTGGACATGGCTGCTGGGATTCTGCATAAATTTAGGAGTGAGGATGATGGGAAGGATGATTTGGTGCATGCTTATAACACTCTGATTGCAGGTTATGGCCAAAGAGGTCAGCTGGAGGAAGCACGGCTTCTTTTTGACGAGACTCTGGATGATCGAGGTGGTGAGAACAAGGATCAACGGAGGCTCAGGCGAAATGTAGTCTCATGGAATTCAATGATGATGTCCTATGTGAAAGCGGGAGACATAGTTTCTGCCAGGGAACTATTTGATAGGATGGCGGAGCGTGATACTTGTTCTTGGAACACTGTGATCAGTGGCTATGTTCAAATCTCGAACATGGATGAAGCTTCAAAGCTTTGCAGGGAAATGCCAAGTCCTGATGTACTTTCGTGGAATTCGATAGTTTCTGGGTTTGCACACAATGGTAACTTGAATCTTGCTAAAGATTTCTTTGAGAAGATGCCCCACAAAAACCTGATCTCATGGAATACGATGATAGCTGGCTATGAGAAAAATGAAGACTATAAGGGTGCTATTAGGCTATTTTCTCAGATGCAGCTTGAGGGAGAGAGGCCAGATAAACACACATTATCTTCAGTTATCAGTGTGTGTACTGGGTTGGTGGATCTTTACCTAGGCAGGCAGATACATCAGCTTGCCACGAAGATTGTTCTTCCTGATTCACCGATAAATAATTCCCTTATTACCATGTACTCGAGGTGTGGGGCAATAGCTGATGCATGCACTGTATTTAATGAGATAAAACTTTATAAAGATGTGATCACTTGGAATGCAATGATTGGAGGCTATGCATCTCATGGCTTAGCGGCAGAAGCTCTAGAGCTTTTCAAACTCATGAAAACGTTTAAAATTCACCCTACCTATATAACCTTCATTTCGGTTTTAAATGCATGCGCCCATGCGGGACTAGTTGAAGAGGGGAGGATGCAATTCAAATCCATGATTACTGACTATGGTATTGAGCCGCGGATTGAACACTTTGCTTCCCTTGTTGACATCTTGGGACGACAGGGGCAGCTTAAGGAGGCTATGGATTTGATTAACACCATGCCATTTAGACCTGATAAAGCTGTATGGGGTGCATTACTAGGTGCTTGTAAAGTGCATAATAATGTAGAATTGGCCCTAGTAGCAGCTGATGCTTTGATCAGACTTGAACCAGAAAGTTCAGCTCCATATGTGTTGTTATATAATATGTATGCTAATTTAGGACAATGGGACGACGCTGAGAGTGTGAGAATGTTGATGGAAGAAAAGAATGTCAAGAAGCAAGCAGGGTATAGTTGGGTAGACTGATCGCCAATTAGAAATTTTACTGTTTGACTTTAATGAGCAATAGATGTCTGATAATGCCATTGTTAGAGATGCTCGCATTCAACTTAACCATGCAACTGTCAGATAGGAAAGGTGACATTGACTGGTTAAGTAGCTTTTACTTATAATAAATTTTCAAACGTTGGTTTGAAATGGAAGAAACAGTTGGCATACAAGCAGAGGTAAGAAAGGGTAATTGTTTGTTATTCTTGGATGGGCATAACTTTGTGAATTTGTAGCTAACTGACAACTGCCATAAATCTCATAGCTCATTTTTTGTTTCTTTTATCGAAAACGATACTTTGACAACCGGAAAACAAACATCCGTTCGACAACTGGGGCGAAAAAGAATTTAATTAAAAATAAGAGTTTGATTAGTAAAATTGTAAGGGGTCAGAGATGTAATATTGTAAAAATGGGGGATGTTATGGTAAAGAGGGAAATATATGTTTGAAGAAGGTACAGTATTTTTCGCTTGACACATTCTCGCTCGACCTCGCTGGACTTCCTCTCGCTCGACTTAGGGTAAATTTTCGGTCGTCTTCTCCGTCTCGCTCTTCACGGCGCTCGACTTCCTGTCGCTTGTCTTCCTCCGTGTCGTTGGAGCTGAACATCACTGTCAGTCGCTTGAGCGACCCTGCGGTGAGTGTTCGTTTAACAACATTTGCTTGATTTTGTGTGTATTTTTTATTGGGTTTCCATTGTTGTTTGCTGTTCTGCAACTTATCTTTGATTGGGTTTGTAATGAAGGTGTTTTTCACAGTTTAGGGTTAATTGAGTTGTGATGCTATATTAATGTCGAACAAGTGTTTGATGAAATGCTATAATGAAGAATTGTATTTGCGCATTCTTGCTTTGTTTTCTGTTTATGTTTGATTGGGTTTGTAATGAAAGTATTCTGTAGGGTTTAGGGTTAATTGAGTTGTGATGATATATTAATGTCCAACAAGTGTTTGATGAAATGCTACAATGAAGAATTGTATTTGCATGACAAACATTTTGTATAATATGCACAAGATTTACACCCACGTTTGCATAATTCACAATTTGACCAAAATTATGTGTAACATGGTTGGACTTAATTTTTTTTTTTTACTATTTTGTCATTGTAAGTTACAATTTTAATAATTTGTAACGAGGATTAGTTTGGGAAAAAATGTCTGCAAAAAGAGACCAGTCGTGACGAGAAAAAGGTATGTTCATGTTAATTATAGTTTTTTTTATGAAAAGTGATTTACTAAATATTCAATTTGTTATATGTTATGTATGATATATATGTTATACATGTTATATGTGCAGATAAGATTAAGACACAAGATTGAGACAGAGTATATTGCTGATATAAATTCAAAGTTGACCAAACACCAACGAGCAACTATTGAACAAACTCCGTTTAAATGGCTTCTTCAAATAAAAGAGCCATTGCAAATATCAAGCAATATTTTAAGAGAACTAGTTAGTTGATGGTCAATTAGTGATCATTGTTTTAGAATAAAACAATATCTTGTCCCATTCACCCCTTTAGATGTTTGTTTTTCGTTAGGTTTACGTATAAGGGGGGAGGTAGTTGTTTTAGAAGATAGTGGTTCATGTTTAGTAAAAGATTTATTAGATGATTTAGAGGCATTAGATAATTATAATTGGGGAAATGTTGTGCACGGTTTATTAGTTAATAGTTTGCATCGTGCTAGTACAAAGTTAAACGAGCAAAAGAATGCTTCTCAATTGTACGTTGCTGGTTTTGTGACTGTCTTACAGGTAACTTTCTTACAAATGATTGATTTATTAGTTGGTATGAAATTATTGTGACTCGATGACATTGTATTATGTAATAGATCTAGGCAATGGAGCACCTGTCTTTGCCTACTGATCCACCACGAAAGATTTGTTTTCCGCGTTTTGTTGAATGGCCTAAAGTGAACATTCGAAGGTCCAAAATAGAACGTGCATTCATCTCAAACAATGTAAGAAATTTTGTGTACAACATATATAAATTTTCCTTAAAAATGTGGACTTATTATATTATGTTCCTAACATATAAAGTTTTCCTTTATATGTTAGATTGTATGGGATTGGGCACTGTCTCGTGGATGATCGGACAATGAAAGTTGTGCAAGAAGCTTTGACGCATTCACAAAATGAGAATATGGACATACCTTCCTCCGAGTGGTGCGTCATGTGACTTGCAACAACTTTTATCGGACCAGCGTATATGGAGATCTAAAACAGAAGAAAATCAAAAAAGGATCATTCAACTTGAATGTGAAGTTAAAATTTTGAAAGAAAAAATCGGGATTCACATGAATAAGTCATCGATAAAGGCGAAGGGGATTGGTGAGGATGATGACATGTATCAATTGTATAAGTTTTGCACCACCAACCTTGATAATCCAAACTGGTTAGTATATAATCAAATTTATTACATTCATTCAATTTAATTAGTATAAAATGCAATGTAATCCATTATTGTATTTCAGTGTTGTAGTGGAAGTGCATGGGCAGATATTGACTATGCAGAACTTGCAGACATTAAAGCCAAGGGGTCATATTGACAATATGGTAAGTTTGTTTATTTAATGAAAAAGTGTGATTCAATATATTTTTAAAAATTATATTTATTAATATCATATGGGTTGTTAGGTGATGTCTGGTTGCAAGTAGTGTAATGATGTATGACCAAATGAATGTCATCTGGTGGCAGCATTCGACGTTTTTGTTTCAATCCTTTGTTTGCGGTATGTTTATTGTGCATTTAAAAGTTAAGTTGCACATAGGTATATTATCATTGATTGTCATTTATTTTTGTGCCTTTTGATAGACACAAGTGATTGAACAAATGTATATTCGCAAAGGGAACACATCGACGTGGACAATGAAAGACTTCTCACTTTTCTATCCAAATACAATTATTCCATTGCAGCAGCTTATTAAGTTGTGAACTTGTGAGTATTTATACTTTGCCTAAAATTTATATTTTTGTCAAGATAAAATTCAATTAACCAGAGTTTTTTCTATTTCAGATTTTTGCTCCCACTGTACACAATGGTCATTGGTGGTGTTATGTGCTGAAATGTAAGGATAGAGAACTGTTTATATTAGATTCGTTGGGCCATGATAATAGATCACGAAAACCAATTGATAGAGCTATGGTAAATATTTGTTTTAAGTTGTTTACGTAGGTAATATTGTTAATTCAGAGCTATGTTTATTTGGTGAATAATGTAATATTGTGAACAGTTGCAATGTTTTGAACATCTATTGTCGTTGTTGGAAACAAAGTCATCGAGGACCACTGGAGAACTTAAGGTTACAAAGGAGGACTTGCCAATTCAACCAAACATGTTAGTATGTTATTATAGTTGAAATTTTGTTTGCAAAATGTTGTATGTAACGTGTGTAATAACTACATTCAATTGTGCAGATATGATTGTGGATTGTTTGTTTTAAAATATATGGAGTTGTGGGATGGTGTGAGCAAAGTGAATGGGAGAAGCATGCCTCATTACACATCGGTAAACATTAAAGTCACTGTATTATTGTTTTGTTTTTTATTACTATGAATATAATTTATTATGACATTCTTCATATTGTACAGGAGCAAGTTCAGAAATTTCGAGAAGAATATGTATGCAGATGGGTACTTCATCCTCAAAATCTTCATCGACAAGTCATGGTTATTGAATCAGGAGTTAACATCCTCATGTAGGAGTAGAAATTTAGATATTGTATTTGATTATTTGTTCATCTTCATTGATGAATGTTGTACAGTTTATTCATATGTAATATAACTGTTAAGTTGGTTATGGATCATTTAAATGTTAAATATTATGACATTATAAATATTTGTATCATCTTTGTACATAACAGATAACTTCATGCTTAATAGTTGTAAAGAATGTGCTTAACAAAAAACAGATTGAAATTTGAAGGTTCTGTCGCTTAAGCGATGACTTCGTCGCTTGAGCAAGTGTTGATCCACTAACGAAACGCCCAACACAGCTAGCCATATAATATAACTTGGTTCACCTTATATAAGAGTCGCTCAAGCGATGATTCTGTCGCTTGAGCGAGTATTGACCCAAAACGAAACGTTAAACGCAGTTAGCCAAACAATATAACTTGGATCACCACATATTAGAAACACTTGTCGCTCAAGCCTTCATAACATCGCTTGAGCGAGACAGAACCCGAGGGTCCCCTTTGGTTAAGGTTCCATCGCTCAAGCGATTACATAGTCGCTTGAGCGAGACAGATCCCGAGTGTCTCCATCGTTTTTGAGGGACCTTAGATAGCGGTTAATCAGAACCGCTTTTAAAAATATATATTAGATAGCGGTTATGCCCTAACCGCTGTGTAATGTATGTTTACAATAGCGGTTTTTTTATAACCGCTCTTTTATATCATACTTTTAAAGAGCGGTTTGCTCGCGGAACGCTATAATAAATATAGTTTAGATAGCGGTTAGCCAAATAACCGCTATCTAAAGTCATATATGTCAAAGTGATCGACTATAATTGGACACTAATCGATCATAACTTTCGATAACCGATTATAATTGAGAAAGATCGATCATATACCACTCTGCATCTGTCTCGCCGCGCACGCAAAAGAAACGTTCGTTCTCTCCCGGCTCTGGTTCGTCTATGTTTAATATAGGGTTCTGTTCTAATTACTCGCACATTCTCTGTTATCTGTTTTGGTTCACTGTTGACTATCTCAATCGTCGTAAACATAAACCATGGCTGGCAAAAGAAAAAGCTTCAAGCGCACCCACTCAGAAGCGACTTCTTCAAGTACCCAAACTGTGACCACGAAGGAGGTCATAGCCCCAAAGGTCCTTGACACCCAATACTTTGTCAATAACGGATTTGACTTCATTAGCAAAATATTACCGATCATATACCACTTATAATCGACCACTTTTCGCTCGAGCGGTCATAACGTCGCTTGAGCGAGATAAAACCCGAGAGTCTCACTTGTTT